TTTGCGTGTTAATTGTGTTTAACTATTTGCTTGTTTATTAGTGAAATATAAATATTTCATCAATCTGTTGTGCATATACAGTTCTTAATATAATCACATTATTATGAATAAGAATGCTACCTTTTTGTGTTTTTAAGGTAGAGTGTTTTATTTAACTATAAGGTTTAACTATTTTAATTAAAGATGCTTAAGAAATGCACATCACTATTATTAAAATTTTTTTTTTTTTTTTTACATAAAAATTATCAATATAAAGTTATGTTTATTTCTTTATTTATTTTAATTATATAAAATACTTCATTTTCATCAAAATGTCAAGTATTGCGCTATTCCTCGAAGGTAGCGAATGTGAAACCTTAACCTTAACCGTTACCCTGACGAACTGCGAACTGGTAAAATGTGAACTTTTTTGCGAACCATCGTAGTTAATTTAGCGGTATATTTTAAGGACTTTTAAGCGAAAAAATTATTTAAAAAAAAAAAAAAAAGGAAGTTAAGTGAAACTAGACGAAAACAATATTAAAATAAATATATATATATATATATATATATATATATATATATATATATATATATATATATATATATATATATATATATATATATTAATTATTTGATAGACTGCCTGCCCAACCCAAACCCTCAGTCGATGTTGCAGCAATCCGATGCGAGTCACACTATTTGTCAGTCAATGTAGCAGCACTCCGTTGCGAGTCATGCTATTTGTCAGTCGATGTAGCAGCACTCCGTTGCAAGTCAGGCTATAAGATACTCAGTGTAGCAACACTCCGCGCATGTTATACAGTTAAGAAATAAAAATTTTATTTTAAATAAAGCTCTAAAATAGAATATTAGGAATTGGAGAATTTTTTTTATTATTATTTTTACCGACAACCGAGGAATAGTGCATAACTTTACATTTTTATGAAAAATGAAGTATTTTATAAAACTATTTAAAATAAATAAATATAACTATTTTATTGATAATTTTTATGTAAAAAAAAAAAAAAATTTTTTGGGGGGAATTTTTCTCGGGGTATTATTTTTGGGAAGGGGGGATTTTTTCCGGGGGTAATTTTTCCTAGGGGATTTTTTCCTGCTACCCTCGTCGTTTCTTCAAAAACCTATAGAAACTTCTATTGTTACAAATTCAATAAACTTCCGTTCCTTAACTTAAAATCGTACGCAACGTACAAATCCATCCTTCACCGTAGAGGATAAATTTAAAAAAAAATGAAACTAGTGAAACTTATGCACAAAAAGTACCACCCAAAATGGCATACCATAATACCATAATATTAACACCCACATTAGTACAATAGTCTTCAAAGAAAAATTGAACATTAAAGTATTGATCGAGAAGTTTGGAAGAAAGAAAAAATTATTATTTGAAACCGGGCGTATCTACAGCAAGGAAAGAACCAATCTTTGGGAATAAAATTGCTAAAAACAGAAACTCTGTTGCAGGAAGCTGTATTGTTCGAGAATTCGTTATATTTGTTGGAGGAGTTTGTAATTCTATATCAGAAGCTTTTTTGTTTAACTACATAAAAAAAGAAATAAGCGTCGAGCCGATTACAGTCACACTCAACCAGGAAAATAAAATAACCGCTCTTTCAAGGTAACAATAAAAAGTCACAAAAAACACATAGTCCCAAAACCAGAAATTTGCAACTACAATAGTGTTGTTAATAATTTCGAAAATCTCGTGAAAATCTAAGAACTGAAATGATGCTTTAAAATAATAACTCAGTAACTAAAAGTCAATTTGACGTCGTAAATCAATCCGATGTGGAACATCAACTATACGCAGCTCGTACCTAAATGTCTCTAAATCAGAAATCACAATGGATGAACGCGCAATAAATTCAAATAGTTATAGTTTTTGTCTGTGCGTATAATTGTTAGAGTTTTAAATCAAACTCATGCTATATCTCTACCTTAATTGACTCTTTTGATACACCTTTTCTATCCGAGCTCTGGTTTTCATGCCAAGCAATTTACTTTACATGATCTATCAGCTCTGACACATCAATTATTTTTTCACTCTGCTGAAAAGAATACGGAAGACCTTTTGGGAGAAATACTTTTTTAGTTTGTAAAAATTTACTGCTTTCTCTTCACGTAATACAATCAACACATTCTTGCAATGAAAGGTTTATATGGCAACAGTGTTTTTTTTTATTGGAGTTTATCTTACTTCATGCAGAAATACTTCTAAATCATTAGAACAATATCTGTTTCAACTTAGTGTAATTGCCTCGATCATTAACACATACGAAGATGATGAAGAGTGTATAATTGCCGGCGATTTTCAGTCATTTCCAGAAAATACATACGACAAGGAAGTTCGAAATAACCAAACACGAAACAACTTTTCTAAGCATTTATCTAACTTTCTTGAAACAAATAAGCTTTCTTTTTTGGATATATTTAGTGGTACTGGTCCAACCTATACCTATAAGCATAAAACGCTAAATAGTTCATCTTACATCGATCAGATAGCAGTCTTAAAAGAATCATCAATATGCTTTACAAGTTGTAAAATTATTACTCTTTCACATTTAAATATGAGTGACCATTTATCCATCGCTACACATATTAATCTTAAAAATAAAAGTCTAACTCCAGTTATAAATAGTATATTTAAAAAATACAATACAATCCCAAATTACGCATGGAAGGATGACAACTTTATTGAAATTTATAATCAGAACCTCTCTCAGTTCTTCAAAGGTTACACTTTTATTGAAAAAGCAATAGAAAAACAAACTTAAACAACACGCGAAAAAATAAATAATGCTGCCACTTTAGCAATGGAAGAATGTTTTCAAAAAAAGAATTTTACATTTACTCTAAATCATGGTAGACACCAAAAATTAAATTATGCAAAGACATTCTCTCTTTCCACTTTAAGGAATGGAAAAAATGTAACTATAACAGATCACAGGAATCCATTTCATTTAATAAATACAAGTTAGTTTGTAAAAAATTTTGTAAAACTGTTAAAGCTGTTCATATCCTAAAAATCAATAAAATCACCAAAAACATTGAATATCTTCAAAAAACTAATCCTTAAAAGTTTTGAAACAATATCCGAAAAATTAAATCGAGTGCAAACAATCGCATTTTTACGATAAATAAGAAACGAGATAGAAAGGAAATTGTAGAAGAATTTTGACATAACTTTAATACAATTCTCAACACTCCCACAATTACTAACAACAATTCTGAATACCGCAATATTACTCAACTTATAGTTAAACCTAATAAAATACTCTAATCAACTTCCAACATTGAACCTTGTATTCGTAAGCTAAAGTCTAAGACTCTTGTGGAATTACTGCAAAACAACTTAAATACTCTTCTAACAACAACCTCCTTACATGGCTTTCAAAGTTTTATAACAGTATCTTTAATAATGGAGCTGTGCCGGAGTACTTATCAACTTCCATAATTATTCCAATAGTAAAATCCTATAAAAAATCTCTTAATAATTGAGATAACTATTGCGGTATTACTATCACACCTATCTTGACAAAGCTCTTTGAATATTATCATGCAAGTATGTCTGGAAATATCAGACAGCCATTAATTTGGTTTCAAGCAAAATAGCTCCACCCTGTATGCAGAATTCCTATTGAGAGAGACATTAAAACACTATAATAATAATAACTCGCCAGTATATATCTGTAGTTTAGACGCAAATAAGACCTTCAATAGCTGTAACTGGGATTTACTGTTTGAGAAACTTTATTACAACAAAAACCTACCGCTATCAGTAGTTCGCGCACTACTATCATTATACCGCTCGGATACAGCTAATATATCATACCTTGGACATAAATCAAATAATTTCTGCTTGTCTCAAGGTGTGCAAAAAGGATCCATTTTATTGCCTCATTTATACAACATCTACACTGAAAGTATATTAAGTCAAATTGTTTCCGAATGTATAGTTGGAACAACAGTAATGGGTTTATACACTGGTATTACTGCTTATGCAGATGATATAATCCTGCGAAGTCCTATTCTTTCTGGGCTACAAGAGTTGATTAATATAGTTCAAACTCAATGTCAAAACCTCTATATCAAATTAAATACAGAAAAAACCGAGTTCATTATCTTCGGTTAAAGTTTAGTTACAAAAAACATGATACAAATTAACGGTTTTTTCCTGAAACACAATAATAAACTGAAACACCTCGGATTCCTACGGGCCATAAACAAAATATAGCTACAATCCAATCAGCAAATGTAAACGTAAGAATTTTTCAATTTCAATCAATCTTTAGAGCTCTTAAAAAATCTGGAATTCGTTTTTGTCAACCATTAACTATAGTGCATTTGTTCAAATCTTACGGATTAGAAATTTGTGATTATAACAATACTTTTCAGATCAGCATTAAAATTTCTCTTTGGTATTTCAAAATACAGCAAAAACTATCTGAATTCCTACTTTAAAATTGATGACGTATCTACCATCCTCGTTCGAAACAAATTGAAGCGGTTTATCAGATTACTGAGCAAAACGACTTGTTTTTACTTGATTTTAACTCAAATATCTGATATTAATAAGGCTAACTACTTTATCAACGAAATAATGAAAATTTGCAACCGCCTGGAGCTAAGCTTCATTCAGTGTTTGATTTAGTGGGAAAAAATCATTATCAAACGTCTTAACGATGACGTGGAAGATAATATAGCGGCAATTTTAAATTAGTCCTTTGAATCCTGGAACATCAGAGATCATAGAACGATATTTAAAAATTTGATGGAAGAAAGCATTCCAAGAAGAATCTAAATTAGAATTTCAACTTAAAGTATGAACTATTAGTTTTATGCCCTTTGTATTTTTTACTTGTAATTTTGAGTGATGAAAAGAATAAATAAATAAATTAACTATAAAAAACGAAAATTCTAAATTAAAATTTATATGCTTCTTACTGTAGGAAAAAAAAAAAAAAAAGCGAAAAAAAAAGAAAAAAAGGAAATCTTAATTAAAATTCTAGTTTATTGCATGGGTCGTTATTTTTATGTAAATAAACGGGACTAGAGGAAACCAGCCCATAAATAATAAAGCGTTAATGTTACGTTAGAAGCAGTATGAAAACAAACATTTCATAGACTACCTATTTCGATTAAAAGTTTGTGTTATCATTTACTTTCTAGGTATGAAATTTGAAATATTTCTTTGTTAGTATATTATACATTTTAAATTATTGAGAAAGATCATTTTAGCTTTATGATTAGGGTAAATGATTTCTTACATTGTTTTTCCGACTTTACTGTACCTAGTAGAATGACCAATTAACTTTATTCCAGCCGAAGGCTAAAATAAGTTTATATTTAAATTTATGTTTATATTGAAATGTCTTATATTGTAAGATAATTATATAAATTCATTTAAATCTTTTAATACTAGCAGTTTATGTTACATTATGACTTAAAAAAAAAAAGAAAGAAAAATATTTAAAGCAATATTTATATAAATACCTTTTTCTTTATGTTAGCTTTTACATAAAATTAAACAAAGAATTATTCTTGGAATAAACTATGTTAATTTGTAATATAAAGGTTTATATTATTTTAGACAGGCTGAATCTTTTAGATCAGTAAAAAGTTTAGAGAGATTTTACATCAGTACAAAAGAATAAAAAGAAACAAAGTCAACCAACTTGTGGTAAATATGTAAAATGGTCAGCAAAAGTTTTACTTAAGAATATAAACAGTGAAAGCAATGAACCTAAAGTCACTTTAGGTTCATTGTTTTCACTTTTTCACTTTAAAAGTGTCTGTAAAATTGCTGCTAAAAAATTAGTCCAAGCACCTAGAGAAAATTTGCTACAAAAAGTAATTGATATTACAGATGAAATAGCAAATAATAAATTGATTTTATTTAAACTTAAAGAAAAGTAACATTTTGCTGACAACAGAGCTAGAATATGCATTAGTTTTTGTAGTTAAACTTTCAAAAAATATGAATATATTTTTTATGAATCAAAAAATATCCAATAAAATGTTTATAATATTTAACAATATGTAATACCTAGATGTAATATGTGCATCTAGGTAATATAAGCACCTAGGTAGTATGAGCACCTAGGTAGTATGAGCACCTAGGTAATATGTGCACCTAGGTAATATGAGCACACTATAAGATTTCTAAGATGTGAGTAGTGAGGTTTAAGTTTTTTACTTTTTGAACTGACCAATAACAGAAACCAGTATGTGATTAGTGGCTCTCATCTAATTGAAATGCTATTCAATTTTTTGTGTTAAAATATTATCATTACAGATGGAAAAATCTGTGGCGCAAAATTTTGATGTTAAAATATAAATAATTATTATTTCTTTAAAATATATATTAGCTGCAAATCCTTTTCATTTTTATTTGAAAATCAATGCGTAAAAACATTTATTTTTGAGTTCATTTTAAGATACCCTTTTTGTGTAATTTAAGCATGCTTAAATTACCTTGTGTTTTTCATTAAAGTTACCTAATTTAAAATCCTAAAGTTGCACTGGTTTTAATTGCTTTTTGAATAAAAACAAACAGTTAAAATTTTTATTATTTTAACAGTATTAAATATCTTTCTGTAATTTAAATTCAAAAATTTTGTATTTTTATTGCTTAAAGTTTTGAGTTAATAAAATTGAAAAAATAATGAATTAACTTCTTTTTTTGGCTTAAAATTTGATCTTTTAATGATAATGTTAATAACATATCATTATGTTCCACAAATTAGTTCTAATTGTCAAGTTAGTATTTTTTTACTTAATGTTAATTTTTTGAGCTAATTCAAAATGCTCATATTGGTCTGGGTAACATGAGCACTTTTGCTACTTTTTTAAAACCTCTGTGTTTTTGATAAAAAATTTTGGATGCCTAAATATCAAAGTGGATCATAAGAAGTGATCCCTAATTTTTTTTTAATTGCAAACGTTTAGATCCAGCATAATTATTTTTGAAAATAATCCAATTTTTGCTTAAGGTGCTCATAATACTCTAATCTACCCTACTACTTATACCAGCAAATGTCTTTAACTTTGCAATTAAGCAGCATTAAAGTCATTTAAAGATACTTACAAAAATGTAACCAAGGGTATGATGTCTAACCACTCTAAGGTTATAACAAACAAAGCCAATTTTATGGAACATTTTAGAAAGACATACGGCAATGGTATGATGAAGGCTAATATTAAATCTACATTTAAATCATGTGGAATCATTAAATGTAATTCTTTAATTATTCTGTATAAAGCTTGCTTATCAAGTTCTGTATATGATATATACATGTTAGTGAATAATTTAGACCTCTTTAAACAAATCAAAGTTGACGATACAACAATAGTCAATAAAATGACATGAAAATAATTTTACCTGAAATTGAACAAATTGAAACAGATCTGACACATTTTAATTTAATAATAAAAAGTCTACTATAGCAGTTCGACATGACTATTTAGCTGAACCAGTAGCAGTTGTTTTTAACTCAGTAAAAAATTCCAAAACATAACTGCGATGCTTTAATTATAGAAAGTCTCATAGACAGTTAGACTGTTTTCTAAACTGCTTACTAAAAAAGACATGGATCTAATGTTTTGTAACAGTTTTATGTTGGAACAATTGTTTTACATCGGACAACCAATTGATCAAAATGTACTTGATTTTACGGTTTTAACTCAATTAGATTCTGTCGTAGTTTTTTGCCTCATTCATCATCATTCACAAAAATTCATCTTATTTTAGAAATGGTGATATTTTGTGGTATGCAGCTGCAGATTTCAAAAAACGAAAACTAAAAAAAAATTAAAAAACTTTTTGTTTTTACACTTTTTTTTTGTCAAGGAAGCAAATAACACACAGTTGAAAATGATGCAAAAAAAAGCTTTTAAAATAGTTTAAAAGGTTAGAAACAAAAAAAAAGCTTAACTACAACAAACAAAAAAATATTGAAAAGATTAGAAAACATTAAATTAAAATAAGCAAAAGCTGAAAACCAAAGAGAAGTTGTAGGAAAACATATTGCTATTAAAATGATTTTAAAAAAGGAAATTTTTTTTTTCTGTGTCATGAATGGTTTTTCATTATCTTCATATAATTGAATATTTTTATTCTCATTGTCTATGTACATTCTTTTATAGAGATCACTGCATTATTATATCCCATTAGGTTATTGATTCAGTTTTGTTTAATATTAAATTTTACATTAGGTGCTGCAGGTAGAGTGTCAATTGTCAGCATTTAAACATAAACTTAGTCTTTTTATTTTATCATCGATGGTCATTGATTTGTAACATTTTACAAATAACATGATTTATGATATATAAATAAGTATATTATCTTCAAAATTACTTGATCCTAACTTAATTAAGTTTGTGAATAACCAAATAATTTTACTTGAGATAAATTGACTAAAAATAACTTTAGTTGTATTCAATTTATCAAACTTGATAAATTGAATAGAATGTTGTTATTCAATTTTAATTTGTTTTTTGCCATATGACAACAATGATTTTTGCTTTAATCTTTTGATATGCAGTTATTAGTCAACCTGTTGTCATGATAAATAACTTTAGCAAAAAAGACACAAAATTTTTTTATTAATAAATCAACATTTTCTCAAAAAATGAGTTTTTTTTTTTTTTTTTTTTATACAAACCAGTATAAATAGCTCAACACAAATAACTAGTTTATATTATTACATATTAACATATTATATTATTATGTACTATAAGATGAAAAAGAAACACTAACAATAATATGTAACATTATAACATATTATAATATTATTATATTATAATAATATTATAATGTTATTGTATGACATATTATAATTTATAAAATACAACATCATAACATATTATAATGTAACATTAAATGTTGTTATTTTATTTTGCATTGTTGTTAAGTGATCTTTATATGCAGGATCATCCTGCTTATAAAGTCCACTTAACTGCCCATAAGTGTTATAGATGTATTTTCCAGAAATGAATTAAATTGCAGGAGCTTTTAGGAGTTTGCAGTTGTAGTTAAGATGGACAAAATTTTCACTGCTACTACAAATTCTATAAAATTCAATTCAATCCTGAAAAATATTTTATTATAATGCAAATATCTAAAAAAGTTTCTAAAAATGTCTTTCATTACAAAGCTGCATATATATATATATATATATATATATATATATATATATATATATATATATATATGCATATATATATATATATATATATATATATATATATATATATATATATATATATATATATATATATATATATATATATATATATATATATATATATATATATATATATATATATATATAAATATATATAAAATACTAAAAGTATTTTATATATATATATATATATATATATATATATATATATATATATATATACAGTGGTGTACACTGGATTTTTAGATGTTTGAGTTTTGACACTTACAGGCATTGTGCAAACTCCAAACTTTTGTATGTTCATGCTTATGTCAAATGAGAATGTTTTGCAAAGAGTTGCGGTGATTGGAGCTTGGGGACAAAAAAAACCCAATTTTTGGGCCCACCCAGCCCTTACAATGGGAGCAACAAGTTTATAAAATAATTTCTTTAGTATTTTTATCTAAGTTTATATTCATCAACAAATTTCAAATTTCATGCAATAACGTTTACAGCCCCCTCATTTTCTAAATCGTTTAAGTTGAAACCCTGGTGGTGCTACTGCTTCATTCAAATTATGTAAATTTGTAATTGTACTATTTTTCTTAAATATTTCTAACTGATCTTTTTGGAATATTCTCATTTAAGGAGGACTTCGAGAAGTTTTTAAAACCTGTAAAGATGGTTTTTTTTTACAAAAGTTTACAAGAATACTTAAAAGGAACAAGTTTTAAATGCCAATTCAGGTGCATTTATAACCTCTAATTATATATTTATCTTCAAAATGAAGTTCACTTAAAACAGAATGTTTTGTTGGAGTTTAATCTAAACGGTTAACAAATTGTATCCAAAGTTGATTTAAGTTTTGGTCTGTTGGAAAATGAAAAGATGCAATTTGTTTGTGTTTGTTGCTTAAGTATCCTGGTATACATTTTGGTGCAGAGCATTTGTAGACTATTTTTAATATAAATTCTTAAAAAGTTACTAAATTCAGAAAAAAGAATGTTTTTAAAAAATAATATTTTGGCGTATTTTAAGTCTAAAACTTTCAAAACCAGCCCCTTAATTTCCCCTTCAAAAATGCAAGATATACGGCCGTGAATATAGTAGGCCATGAATATATATATATATATATATATATATATATATATATATATATATATATATATATATATAATAAATTTTTAATAACGTTCGTAACAAATTTTTATATTAAGGCAATTAAACCAGCTCAATTTTCACATTTTTATCAAGTAGACAAAACTCAGTTAAAATATTGTCTTGTCAGGGCTCGAATTAGGCGTATCGCGATCGCAAATCGCGATTACTTTTCAAACTTTTGCGATTAGTTTTTTCTTAAAAAAAAGTATTTTCGCGATTTTTTTTTTTTCTTTTCTAATTTAGCAGTTTTTGACCATTCTTAAAAGTATTTTTTTCTAAGTTTTTTATTACGGCTCAAGTATGTCACTTTAAATTTATCTTTTAAACTTAGAATAATATAATATAAATAATATAATTATAATAATAATATTATTTATTCAAATATATATAATATAAGAGAATTTTAGTTGGCGGACCTGTACACGGCGCACCCTAAACTCGGTGAAGTTCGTTAATTCTCGGAACGAATATTCTCGGTGTTCGCATTTGGTATTTTACAGAATAGGCGCTAAAATATTACGTTAATTCGCGCCATAATGGTAACGTCGAAAATAAAATAACAAAAACTTGTCGTAAATGCATTTTAATAAAAATTTAACATTTTAGAAAAAAAATTAAATTTTACAAATTATCAACATATATACATTAAATATTAGATCAAATAGATCTTCTAAAGGTATCTTCTCTTCGTAAGATTTCTTTTTGTCGCTTATCTTTTTTTAATCGATCATCTAAAGGTATCTTCTCGTAGCTTCTCTTCTTTACATATTTTTTTGTGGCTAATCTTCTTTTAATCGATCTTTTACAGTTATCTTCTTGTAGCTTATCTTCTTTGCATATCTTTTTGTGGCTTATCTTCTTTTAGTTTTTGCAACGTATATTTCGTGTTGTACATAAAAAAAAAACAAGTTCAATATAAATATTATGAAACATTTTCAATGTAAATATTATATTATAATACTTATTTTACATTACAGAGAATACCTGTCATTAATATGTTTTAAGAATAAAGAGAAATTTTCCCAAACATTTTTATTATAAAAATCATAATATTCTCTGTATACAGCTTCATCTAGCCTGTGATCCAAAAACATACTTTAACCTTCGTTTCATCCTACACCAAAACGACTCAACATGATTTATTGTTGCTCCAGTGTCAGGATCAACAAAGTTTATTGTATGGTTTACAGTAAAATGATTGTAACCTAAGTTATTTAAATTAGTATAAGAAGCCCACTGATCTGAATGTATTATTGATCCAGGTGCAACCCATTGTTGAATTATTGGCACTAATGTCTGAGCTGTTCAATCCTCTACCCTTCTTAAGTATCTTTTCTCACTAGTTACATCAAATGCCCCAAAAATCCAATGTTTTTCAACGTTATGCCCAACATTATATTTTCGTTTAAAAAATAAAGATTCATCTATTTCTACGATGAGCCCTGGACCACCTAATTGATTAACAGCAGCAACATCCATAGTTTTAAATGAACAAATATCCCGGAAGTATTGATACCACTGAATTGAGGTTTTTTCGTTTACACCTACTACCTCAGATGCAGCGGTTACAGGGACCTCCAGGATCCATAAAAACATTAATTGAAGTATCAGACTTACACTTAAAGATGTAGAGCTTTCAAAAAATCCTGCTCAAATTGACTTCGTCTTTTTGCAAGTGTTACATCGCCAAATATGTTTTTCCTTAAATAAAGTATTTTGAAGATACAAGGGATAATCTGTTTTGTGTAAATAATAATAAAAATGTTAAGTACTCATACTTGACAACGTTCATAATTTTGCACAAGCATCCTTTGACCACATAGACAAAGTTTTTGAAGTGGCATTAGCCTTTTTTGTTACAAAAAATCAACCAATTTTTCTTCTTTGATACTTTCAATGAACTCAGCTAAAGGTGTCATCTTACTTATTTTAAAGGCGGTAAAAAATTGGCTTGGCCAATCATTAAACGGCAAAATTATTGTTTCGAACTTTACCGAGTTCGTTTACGAATTTCACCGAATTTAGGGTGCGCCGAGTACAGGTCCGCCTTTTAGTTTTCTAAAATTTTTTTATTCGAATAATTTTGCGATTGAAATTTCAAATTAAAAAAAAAAAAATTAAATAATTTGAAAGAGTTTTAACGCCAACCGACAATAATTATAAATTTAATCGCAGCGACGTCTGTAATATACAGTGGCATAGCGAGGATCATTCCTAAAAGTCAAACATGATCTAGCTATAGTAGCAATATCAAACTTAAAAGATAGTGCAAGTGAGGAAAAAAGTTTTATTTAAATCGCAAGCATTTTTAATATTAAATTTTTTTTTGTAAAGGCATTATTTTTTGTTTATTTGAAAATAGTTTTAAAAGTAGAAACATATTGCAAACATTAAACCGAAAATTTAAATTAAAAAAAATAAATTATTCTTCTTCTGTTCAAAAAAGAGTCTTTCCAAAAAAATAATTTAAGCTTATACTTAAACTTGTGGAAATATAAATCGACTTGTTAAATCAAAATTTTTTTCTTACTTTTTATTGCAAAAAAATTTAAACAAAAAAACTGAATAAAAACATCAACTTAATCCATTCGAATGATTCATTATCGAATCATCCATCGAATCCGTTATACTTATATTTTCTTATAGTAGTGCTAAATTTTTTTTGTAGACCAAGAAGCAATAAGTTAAAAAAAAAAACGCGTTGTATGTTTTTTTGAACCTTACTCTTTGGTCCATTAATGTTTTGCGCAAATATGAAGTTAAAAGTTTTATGACGATAATGTTTTAATTTATTAATTAGAACAATTCTATTTATTTACTTCGTTTTATTTTAAATGCGTTTTATGTTTTTTAATTTAAAAACTGTATAAAACAGCAATAATACATTGTTATTGTTTTACTGTTGTTTTTTACAATTATAGCTTTTTACAATAACAATTTAAGGGGCCATCCATAAAAGACGTCATGCTAATACGGTTCAAGATAAAAAAGACAATGGGGAGGGGGTCATCAGAAAAGAACGTCATGTTATAAAAATTTTTTTATTTCACTTTTAATAACATTGACTATATTAGGTCTATAAATATTCCTAATATATATAAATATACCTTTTTAGCCTTATTTATTCACTAATAATTTTTTAAATTACTTTAATTAAAAAGAACTTCAAATCATTGAATGAGCTTGGGGCCGAGCTCGAAAAAAGAGGCTACGATATTAGAAGAAGTGTTTTATATACTTGGTTAATGACAAAACGAAACAAATTATTTGAAGGAAAGAGACACGTCCACATGTTTCCAATCAAATTGATGCCCAAAACGATCTTCATTAAAGTCACGTGAATGATCCATTTTGTACATCTATTAGGAATGTGGAAAAAGTTTGCTCTTTTTTAGGCCCCAAGGATGTGCGCTTTATAAGTCAAGACAAAAAAAGCTCGGATCCCGATTGGAATCACCCCTGCTAACAAACAAGTTCCTAAATTTATGCATAAGGAATATAAAGTTTCTCTTTCTGATCATGATTGGGTCATCGCCAAAAAGCACAAGCTCATCCCGTCTCTCTACGCTTGCATTGAAATCAAACCAAATGGGCTTGGAAAATCTGACCCAGTTTCCTATTTCAGTCCCACTGTTCGATCTAAAAAAAATTCATCGTCGACAGTGTATGCTCACAGATTGGCCTTTGAACGACTTTTAGACTCCAGATTCCATTACAAAAGACTCTTTAACCAAGTTGGTTAAGCCAGTAGTTGTCTTTAGGGTTGATTTAGCAGGATTGATTCTCCCTCGTGATCATTATGGAACTCATCTAGACTCTCAAAGAATTTAAATTTATTTTTAATATCAACTCATCAAAATACAATATATGTAGCAAGACTTAAGGAATTAATTATCTGCATTGCGACTTATATTTTAGGTAGGACAGTGGATCCTCTTTTGGAGAAAACAGAATTTTGATTTCGCTGGGTAGATCTATACCTCGATCTTTTCAGGTCTGATGATTGATCAGTTTCCAACAGTGGTTGAGTATTTCAATCCAGACGGCAAGATGGAGCTCGATGCTTGTCATCTCTTATAGAATGGTTAGCCTCTCATGTGCGCACCCGTCAATATTTCACGCAAATTGTTAAATATGAGGATCCCGAATATTGTTCTTTGAAAATGAGCTCTTATTTCCATATTATTCCCGGTCAATTTCACCAGCAAAAATAGTTTTCCTTCTGTTTTTTTTTTCTTATCGCCTCCAATATTTAGAGCACCATTTCTCGATCATTAAAATCACTCAAACTTTCTCCTTACAATCTGTTTTGTCCCTATGTGCAATCAAATTTATCTTAGAGATTCTGTAAGCATTGTAACTTGTACTTTGCCTACCAAATCGTGTATAAAAAAAATGTCAGTATTATTCATTCTAATATATATAAATAAACCTTTTTAGCCTTATTTATTCACTAATAATTTTTTTTAATTACTTTAAAAATCGTTGAATAAGCTTGGTGCCGAGCTCGAAAAGAGAGGCTACGCTATTTGCAGAAGTGTTTTATATACTCGGTTGATGCTAAAACGAAATAAATTATTTGAAGGAAAGAGACACGTCCACATGATTCCAATCAAATTGATGCCCAAAACGATCTTCATTCAAGTCACGTGAATGATCCATTTTGTACAGCATCTATTAGGAATGTGGGAAAAGTTTGCTCTTTTTTAGGCCCAAAGGATGCGTGCTTTAAAGTCAATTAAAATTTTATTAACCACATGACTATTACCCTTTTGTCTAAAAAAATTGCTATCAACAATTAGCTTAAAAATAGGACACTTTTTCTCTGCTACCCCCTCCCCCCGCAGTTTCGCCACTGAGAGTAGTACTGACATTTACTTAAAACTAAAAACAGAGGTGTTCAATTTAATAAATTTTAGTTATAAAGAAGTATATTTAGAAATATAATTTTTTGTCTTTACTTTTATTATGATTTAATTGATTAAATAATAAAACAAAATTTAAGTTTATAGCCTCCTGCCCCCTTCCTCCCCTTTTAATATAGATTTCTCCTAAGAAGTAAAGTACCAGTGTTTTCATTAGTTGATTTTAAAGTGAACGCGCGTTTTTTCCGGACCGTTAGTAAGATGTTTAGAAATGCTAAACTGTTTATAAAAATATGTATTTGTAAAAGTCGCTAAGGTTTTTAACATTGTTTAAATATCCTTTGTATTTTTTCTAGATGCATTACTACTTTAATTAAAGTTTGGAGTTGCTTAACTAAATCATTTTTATTTATAATAGCTTGATTATGTGTTGTTTGATCAAACAATAAACTATAAATGTAACTTAAAAGAGTGTTATAAAAGTAACAACACTGTAGTGTTATTACTTTTGTAGTCATAAATTTATTGTTTTGTTTTTCATAACATTTTCACTAACAAATTAAAGTTTATTCGCCTATTCCGTAAATTTCGTGGTTTTCCATAAACTGAAACATTGAAGACCAGATAATTTAACAGATATCGCAAATCGCGATGCCTTAATTCAACCCTTGTATATTATATTAAATTATATAAAATTAAATCTTTTAAAATTTATTTAAAAATACATTTTAATTAAATTTTGGAAGATTGATTGGAGTCAATAGTAAGATATTTACTTTTGTGTGTTTTTACTTTTAAACAATCTAATATTTATCTTGCAGACCAGATACTTATACAGGTACAGATAGCGGAAATATCATAATTTTTTAAACCAATAACCTAATAATGAAACTAGATGCGTGACTCGCAGCTTTTTGCGTATAACTTAGTGAAGCCAGCGTCCGCTATTTTGCGGAATAATAATTAGTCATCAAATTTTGATTAATTTTTTATTAATTTGATTTGATTAATTAAGCATCTATAGAGAATTAATTTTTACTATATTTTCAATTAGGCCAATTTTCATTGACTTTTTCATTAATTTTAAGATAAAATTTTTTTGTTAATAAGCTGAGGGTGGGTGGGAAAATATTCCAAATGTTAATAAACGCCCCCTCCCCCATCTTTTGTATTAAGGAATCAAGAATACCACTAAAAAATAATGTAAAAAAATACATAGAATAAACATATTTTAAATTTACAGAAAAATAACAGTAGCTTATTTATTTTACCTTCAATTTACTAAAAATAATGGTTGTTAACTTCCTATCCCACGTGAATGTTAGTATAAATACATAAATTTTATCTCAAATACCAAAATATGGTGGATCCACCCCCGTTTAAAATCCATGCATGAGTAGTGAACGTTATTGAAACCAGTTTTTCCTAGATCCGGTTTTGGTTTATTAAGGTTAGGTTCAGTTTGGTTTGAGCTTTAAACAGCAGTTTAAACCCAAACGGTCTCCTAAACTGTAGTGATGATCAAACGATCTTGGTTATGGGCCGTTGGAATTATTTACATATCCAAGGCTTCTAGATGTAAAGATATAAAAAAAGGGTTGTGATTTTTTATAAAGTATTATCAAAAAAAGATAATTTTGCGAAATATGCATTATAATAAATCGACACATTTTTTAGTAGACAAAATTGATTACTTTACATCCCCCATTAAAAATACACATTCAGGTAATAATTAACATAGGAATTGTCGTTTAAAATTAAACACACGCACATCTTGTATAAAACATCTATAACTTTGTTGACGCATTCTTTATGAATGTACATTCATAAAGAATTTGATTTTATTATCGTCGAATTTAATTTTACTATCGTCAAATGCTACACTTAAATTCATTAAATTTCGAAGCTAAATAAACCAACTTGGTATTTTCACATTTAAACAAAGCAATATCGTAATTAGTATTTGTTACGATTGACTATTGTATACACAGTAATACTTATATTTTTATTTTCTGTTGAAAATAGACTAATTTGCAAAACAACAAACAATATTCAAACACTACCACGTATTCAAACAAACCTCGTAAAACAGTAAAACGTTTTCTTAATCCAGTAGCATTCTAATTTAAACTTAAGGCGAGTTTCCACTCATCCGTTTTTCAACGGGAACGGGATAGGAAAG